AAAAGACCCGGCTGGACGCTACTGGGACTCATTACAGGACTCCTTATTATTGCTGGAATTGTTGCCATTGTTGCTATTTGAGTATCTTATCTTCTCTCTATTCTCTCCTCCCCTGCTACATTTCCTGAGGGCTCACTGATTAACCCCTCCAAAGGGCCCTAATACAATGGCCCTCTTCCTTGCTCTCCTGATGATGGCAATCTACACCATCCATTGGGCTCCACCAGTCTTTGCAGGGCTTGACAACCCTCAGGGCATTCAAAAACACCTTCAACAGCATCACCCTTGTACCTGCTCAGGGGGCATAATAGTATCCTTCCCACGAACCCTCAAAAGCTGCATTTTACACAAGACTGCGGAGATAAAACTGCTTATCTGACCGTCCCGGGTTCCCGATGGTTCTGTGTTCCCAAACCTAAGCTAGACTCTTACCGCACTGGGGATCAGTGCCCATCAGAGTGCAATAAAACTATCCATTACTCCGTGCACTCCTCCTGTTATACACAGTATCAAACCTGTAACAAGGGAAATCAGCGTTTATTGTTTGCTGTTATGTCAGGAGATTATGAGGGAACGTTCGGAGGAGAGTTGTCCTCTTCACGCTTCAGCTCCCCCTCCTGCCCCACTAAGGGACAAGTAGCCTGCTGGTACCCTATAGCCCCTGTGGGAGTGTCTGACGGTGGAGGCCCTCAGGATACCCTTCCCTCCAATACCACCCCCTGGCTAAAGTTCATTCCAGAGGAAATAAAGACTTGGATGTCAATACCATCGATATCCTTACCAACACCCATAAACTGCTTAATCTCTCTGCCCCAAACCTTGCAAGAGACTGCTGGCTCTGTTTACGCCAGGGACCCCCCCTTCCTCTTGCCATTTTTCTACCGCTTAATAATACCCTTGAGTTCAATAGCTTCTTGGGCCACCCCCCTATGCAGCCCTTTCCTGTTCTTCCTGTCCCAACGGAAAATATCACTTGCCTTTATAAACCTCCCAACAACAATCCCTTCGATATCGATGTAGGCCTTGCTCCTTTCTGTACAAATAATGTAACAGTAAACTACCCTCTTTATGCCCCTAATTCCACCGTTTTTGTATGTAGGGATAATTTAGCTTATACCATTTTACCAACAAATTGGACCGGTAATTGCATGCATGCTATACTTTTTCCTGATATAGAGATTATCAATGGAGATACCCCTGTTCCTATCCCCTCCCTTGGTTATATTGCAGGGAGACAAAAACGAGCTATTCAATTTATTCCTTTATTAGCCACATTGGGAATTTCCTCAGCTATGGTTACAGGATCCACAGGACTAGGAATCGCGGTCCACAAATATAGAGAATTGTCCCAACAACTTATTAATGATGTGCAGACCCTATCCACCACCATTCAGGACCTTCAAGATCAAATTGATTCCCTAGCGGAAGTGGTTCTACAAAATCGTAGAGGCTTAGACTTGCTTACTGCTGAACGGGGAGGTATTTGCTTGGCTTTACAGGAAAAATGCTGTTTTTATGCTAACAAGTCCGGCATTGTTCGTGATAAAATCAAGACACTTCAAGAAGATCTGGAGCGTCGTCGACGTGCCATGGCTGAAAATCCCTTTTGGACTGGATGGAATGGACTGCTTCCCTATTTGCTACCGCTTTTAGGCCCCATTGTTGGGTTGCTTGTTGTGCTATCTATAGGTCCTTGTCTCCTCAATAGGCTGATGACCTTTATCAGACAACAAGTAGATAATTTAGCAGCCAGACCAATTCAAATACATTACCAAAGTCTGGCCATGGAAGATCCCATGGAAAACGTTATCTCTCTCTCTGGCCGGTGAAGTCTGGCCAGTGAGGTCACAGTCCCTCCAACAACTGACTCTCCCCTTCGGTCTGCCGCTGCCCCAGTCGGGAGCCCAGGAAGGGCCCCAGGCCTATCAATAAAATGAGCAGTAAGCCAATGACGGGCACCTTCCCGGAACCTCACCCACCTAAGACAGGAGTCCTTGGGGACTGGCAAGGATATCCAATGACGGGTAAGAGGTGATGGAGCCCCGGGTCGATTCCTAAGACAGGCACTGCTCGCTCATCATGCTTGGCCTAACCGGTAGCCATTTCTGTTTAATTGATAAGAAAGGGGGATATGTCGGGGACCACGCAGCATGTGACCTCTTAGTGGAGAGACAGGGCTAGACAGGCCAGACCTGATAGTACTGATAACGCAACCTTGTGTGACCTTGTGCCTTAAGGCCTTGTAACCTTTCCCCTACTTGCACTAGCATTGCAGCTACAAGATAAGCCCCCCCCTCCTTCCCCCGCCCGATACCCTGCCTCGATGATATATAAGTGTGTGGTTGAAAAATAAAGTCGCAGCTTGATCGGCACCTGTCTTGCTGCCATCTTTGTGTCTCCTGTCCCTTTCATTTCTCCTTCTAGGTGCTCGGCCCCAGTTGCTGTCCCGCGGGACGGGACAAGAAGTCACAAGAGGCAATTTAATCTCTGTACCAAACACACGTTCCAGGTCTAAATGTTTAAAAAAAAAAAAGAGAGAGAGAGATTTAAGCGTGGTCAAGGGCAGTATGAAGTAAAAAACTAAGTGATTCACTACCAAAAACAATAAAAGAGGCAGCTAAGAATTTAAAAAAAAAAATAGAAACATCTGAAGAAAAAGAAAAGTAATAGTAATTTGCTACATAGCTAGTTATGGATAGTATTTTCAGTCTTCATTGTGTCAACATTGATCTTACTGAAATTACTATGAAATTGATGAGGGTTTTCAAATAATGAAAATCAAAACAGAATAAATTCTTCTATGTTTGGAAATCAATAATGTTCAAAATAAAAAAATTGAAATATACCATCACAATCACAAAATTTACGAGTAAAGTGGTAAATTCAATATTGCGCCACTAGGGAAGGAAATGGAAAAGAGTTGGAAAGAATATGTGAACAGAGGCCACTGTGATTCATGTGCAATACACCAAAAACACTTTAAAAAACATAACAGTGGGGGCCAGCACTATTAAATCCCTGGCCTGAAGCACTGGCATCCCTTATGGGCACTGGTTCTAGTTCCGGCTGCTCCTCTTCTGATCCAGCTCTCTGCTATGGCCTGGGAAAACAGTAGAAGATGGTCCCAAGTCCTTGGGTTCCTGCACCTGTGTGGGAGACTTGAAGGAAGCTCCTGGCTCCTGGCTTAGTATCGGCACAGCTCCAGCCTTTGCCGCCATCTGGGGAGTGAACCAGCAGATGGAAGACCTCTCTCTGTCTCTACCTCTCTCTGTAACTCTGTCTTTCAAATAAATAAAAATAAATCTTTTAAAAATGTATCTTTTTAATGGATTAAATTTGAAAAACATTCTAGCCACCTCTTAGTTTGTTTCACTTGCTTTGTTTCATAAATTATGCAACAGAGGTTGGAGAAAAAAAACATTGATTATGTTAAAAAAAACTAGCTTGAAATGTCATATAAGGTAATGAGAGAAAACGTATACCATATAGGGTAGGAATGTTTCTGCTATTTACTGAAACACATTTCCTCTCAAATTCAAATATAGTTTGGTCATCATTTAGTTAGAATATTAGGTTCCTGAAAAACGCTGCCTATAATGATATAAAAATACCTCTATTTATTCTTCCGTAGAACATATTTCTCTTCAATAGAGTTTCACTTTCTATAGCAAACATCTCCGTTCTTTTATTATTAGTTAAATCTGATTTCAGATAAAGTACATATTGTCCTCAGAGATATTCTTTTTAATGAATATTTTATTTCTTTACCTGAATTATCTTGGACTTAAAGGAACTTTTCTGTTACATAATTCAGTACATAATATTTGTCTGAAATATTAATAAGCATATAGGTATACCTGTACACCATTTATTAATTTGATGAAACTACTAATCTGGATTTCTATACAAATTGTTTCTAAACCCTTTTATCCATGCATTAGATTTAGATTTTAGATTTATCAAGCTTTTTGATTAGTAGTTTTTAAAATATCTACTTATTTTTTTATTTTCATGGAGACAGAGACAGAATGTTAAATGTCACCTTAAACATTACAGACATGTGATGGTAAACTTATTTAAAAAATGCTTGAAACTTTAGGTTTTCTGGTTCTCTTTCCTTTTGAAAACAACAAAACTACAATCAACATGTTGTTTCAAATTAACTTTAGTCACAGACTAAAATAAAACTCTGACAGTTTTTAAGTGACATAAATAGCTATTTTTTCCCTTGCCCACATACAAAAACAAAAGGACAATTTTCCCGATTTTATTTTATCATGTCATATTTAACCTGTGAGACAAATTTCAAGAAAGATATCTTCAGAACACTAAGAGGAGGGCTGTTTTCATTTTTCTTTTAATATATTTTTCTGATCTAAACTTTAAGCCTCATGCATGGCTCCTTGTGTCCTATCCAATTTCTGTCTGCAAGATTTTAGATTAATAAAACAAGAATGATTTTAGCAGTTTGAGTTTATTAGCAATTTAAGCTTCCTTAAATATTCTTGTTCTTTTCATTGGATTTATGCCAGTAGAGCTTGAATAAATATTTGTCAGGAATCTTAAAGGAAGAGTTCTCATATCTGAAAGGAGACTGAATTACAATAACTACAAAGTTCCATTTTATTCCATGATCATTATGGATTTAAAAATAACAACACTTAAAAATATTTTCATGTGTCATCTATAGACAAAGTTTAAGTTCAGTGTGATTACAAAATCTGAACTAGGTGAATATATATACAGGGCTGCATTCCAAACATATATTATAATATAATTATATTATATAATATGTTCTGTATCTCCAGATTTTTAATTCATGCTTTAATTTAAATTAAAATGAATTTTGAATTTATCCAATTAATACTGTGTTAGAAATGTAATAGTTCAAAAATCTAAATAACTATATTTGAGGTTCATCCTATCTGAATTCTAGATTATGGGCATGATTATTGTCATTGAATTCTGAATATCATTAGAACTTTTTGAAATACGGTTACTGGTGCAGACATCTGAACAGTGGTTAAGATGCTGGTTGGAACTCCTCTATGCCATATTGGAGTGCCTGGTTTCGAGTCCTGGCTCTGCTCCTGATTCTAATTTCCCTGCTGGTGTGAACTCTGGGAGGCAACAGAAGATGGTTAGTGATCAGGTTTCAGCTTCCTGGGTAGGAAACCTCCACGGAGTTACTGGATCTCGGCTTTGGCCTGTCCCAACTGTGGCCTTTGTGGACATTTAGGAAGTGAAACAGGAGATGGGAATCTCTCCCTATCTGACTAAGCAAGTCTTTTTCTCTCCTGTTCATACATACATACATACATATATACATAAAATTTTAAAACATAGCTAAACATGAAATGACCCTTCTGAGAAAGGAGCTAGAAGTGTGGAAGAAAAAGATCCAGTAATGGAGCATGGGCGACCACCTTCCATACACGGAGGCCACTCTACTTATTTCCTAGCTCCACAGTCAGGAGTGCCAACGTGTTCAATATGCTTATGTCATCTTACAGAATATGTGTTCACTTGACCATCTGCCTGAGAATGCCTCAGCTGGCTTTTCTTTTCGTGAGGAAATATGTGAGTTGTATCCTTTGTATTTGTTTTGTTTCATTGCTTTGCTTTTTGTTTTTTAATCCAAAGTAAGACTCGCATCCTTTGGTATAGAAAGTCTCTCTTTTTTACTGTCTAAAATTCATCTTTTTTCTAAACTGCCTTTTTTTTTGCTTTTCTATAACATTTCTTTCAGTTTTTTTCCCTATATCACCCATTCTTTACTCCCTTAAACTTCTTATTGATCCTCAGCCATTCTCAAAGTTAAATAATCTGAATCTAAAACTTCGTGGCAGCATTGATAGCATTTTTAAAATTGACATGAGCAGCACTTTAAATTTTAGAGTTCTCACCCCCTTCTTTCTAAGGAACAGTAAATCTGGTTTTCAGTTTAGACTGCAAGTGTAAAAGTGACTCAGAAGACTGCATTCATTAAGTGATGAGAACGGATATTTCTTAAATCATTTTAAAATGGATAGTTATCCATTGCAATGTATCTGAACAAAAGAATCTAGCTTTTATTTTCTAGAGAAAATGGTTGGGAGAACACGTGGGAAATATTGGAGCAAAACTGGTAACTAACATCAAAAAAAAATGAGGCTGCATCCAAATATTACTGTTGAGTCTAGAAGAGGATGTAAATTTTGGAAATTCTGCTGATTTCTCTAAATTTTAGTATCTATTCATAGACCTAAGGAAAAGATCTGACAATTTGCAAAATTTATTCCAACTCAAAACAATCTAATATTCCAAGAAATGAGTAAAATTTGTGTTAATATTGAGCCATCATTAGGAATGATGAAAACTGTTAACTCTTATTTCTTAAATAAATATATTTGAGTTAAAAATAAAAACTAATTTGTGGGTATATGGCCTAGTGGTTAAGATACTAATTTAGACACCTATATAATTTATCAAGAGTTCTTAGATTTGATACTCACCTTCAGTTTCTGACTTCAGACTTCAGTTAATGAAGACAATGAGAGGTAGCTGGTGATGCCTTACGCAACAATGTTCCTATCAGTCACAAGTGTGCCCTAGCCTGAGTCCCAGTCTGCCTGTTTCAACTGCGACCAGGGGCTGTTCCCAGCATTTGGTTAGTGTGATGAGTTAAGTAACACTTGTTTTCCCAAAACTCATACTGATGTTTAAACTCTGATGTCTTAATAATATTTGCTACCAAATTATGTGTGAAGACTTAATCTAATTATGGCATCTGAGCCATGAGTGTGGTGAGATGTTTTTACGTCACTGAGATACACCCTATAGTTCTCACTATAGGATGACTTATTTGAGCTCAAGCTCTGTCCGGCTATTAAGTCTGCTTCCTGGTTCACCATATGACCCTTCTTCCATACTTGCCATGGCCAGCCTCTGCAAGATTGCAGACTATGGGGCCCATCAACACTGACCTGCGTCTTCTGAATTGTATGCTGCAAAAAGATCTTTCCCTTCCCAAGAAATTCCTCCCAGGTACTCTAACTAAAGTAACAGTAGGACTAACACAAGTAGTGAACCAGTTGGTAGGAGCTCTCTTTCTATCTGTATCTGTCCCTCTCTCTCTTACAAACAATTATAAAATAAAAAAAAATAAGTATAACACAAAAAAAGTTTGCAGTACAGCAAATTCTCAGAGTAATGTATGTGATTCTTCCTCAGACTTCCTGGGGAAAGAAGCCCACTAAGAATTCATTAGTAATGAGAAGAGACAAAATATACTATAAGACGCTATCATCTTCTGTAATAATATCTAATACCATACAATCTAAAGAACATTGGTATTATTTACATTTTAGATGTTTGAGATAAAAAGAAACCATTGACTGTTTTGGGAATCACGTTTCGTTGAAAAAATTATAGTGCAATAATTTAAGCAGGTAGCTACCTATAAAAATATTTCCCTGAAAACTATCTTGATATAAAGATATGCTTCACATAAAAGGAGTGTCAAATGCTAATTGTATAGACCTGTATTGAAGGGGCAAATAACTGTAATTTCCTGATAATATTATTTATGACTTCCATAATATAAAATATTTTGTGTGAGTTTAGACTCTAAAACATTGAGAAGTATCACAGGAACTCACACTCGGTATTTAATACCCAAACTTCATAAGTTGAAGTTTCCTTTTAAGCCAACCTTACCTAAACTAATATTTATTTAATTAGAGTTACATTTGTGCTTCTGTTTTAAAGTGTTACCTGTGCTCAACTCAACTGTGAACATTGTCTCTGAGAGATTAATATTATCTCCAAGATCTTATGTAATTTGTTCAAGGTCGTGCAGCTAGTGCCTCATCAAATGAAAGAAAGACTGCAGGCATCTCCACCATTTGCCCACTGTTTCTCACCGCCTATGAATATCCAAGAATGACAGTGTATGGTGTAGAAGGTTAAGCCTTCGCGTGCAGTGTCGGCATCCCATATGGGCACCAGTTCGAGTCCTTACTGTTTTTACTTCTGATCCAGCTCCTTGTTAATGTGCCTGGGAAAGCAATGGAAAATTTCCTGAGTATTTGGCCCCCTGGACCAACGGGGGAGACCCAGAAGAAGCTCCTGGTTCCTGGCTTTGGTTTAGCCAAGCTCTGGCCATTGTAGCCATTTGGGAAAGTGAACCAAAAGGTGGAAGATCTCTCTCTCTCTCTCTCTCTCTCTCCCCCCTTCTCTCTCCATATCTCTGGCTTTCGAATAAATCAAAAAAGAATAGGAGTTCAATTTTTTAAATATAAATAACTATACCTCCTATTACAGTTTGACAATTTGTAGTTTTGAATGCATTTATTTATATGAAAAGTAAAAAGAGACAAAGAGGCATGGAGCCCTCCCATCTGTTTGTTTATTCTCCAAATGCCCACAACTGCTTGATCTAGGCTGAACAAAAGGCAGGATCCAGGAACTAAATCCAGGTCTCCAATGTGGGTGGCAGGAACTCAGTCACTTGAACCATCATGCTGCCTCCCAGGGTGCTCATTAGAGGGAAGCTGGAATCAGATACTAAATCAGACTCAAGCTCAGGCACCCTGATAATATGAGGCATTCTATCCAACATCTTAACCACTGCAACAAGCATTCACTCCTTTGTTATTTTATAAAAAACCAAGTGTACATCAGGTTGAAGATACTTCACTTTATAGTGAAATACTGTATTTTCTCTTTCCTCTTTACAATAGAATTAAATGAACCAAATGTCAAGTGAAACATAAGAATAAGGTGAAGATCAATGTTACTCACATGGTCTAGTCTGTGATTGTCACCATAGCAGAAAACTGTATTTTTAATTCTACAAATGGTACTAGAAATGTGTCCCTTATAAAAGAGCCAGACAGGGTGATTTCCTCCCCCTCAATTTTTAATGAGATGACAATAAAATAAGAAATTAAAAATATAAGTGAAGAAAAGAAGAACTTACAGGAGAATTTCTCAAAGCAGAATTAACCTTGAGACTTAAGTTTCTGAGTTATGTTTTCAGAACAGAATTAAGGATAGAGAAAAAAACTGGAAATGATAAAATAAAGGGGAGCAAATTCTGAATTGTTCACACATATAGGGGTGATCATGTTCAGTTACTTAAAGCAATGTGTTTTAATTATCTGAAATTGCCATGATGGTAAATTGAAAAAAAATGAACAAAATTCTCTCAATGAATAGTTAATGTTTCTCCTAAAAATACAAACTCCTGACTGGTGGTGTGGCGTAGTAGGCTAAGCCTCCACCTGTGGCAGCTGTAACCGTTATGGGCGCCAGTTCATGTGCTGGCTGCTCCTCTTCTGATACAGCTCTCTGCTATGGCTTGGAAAAGCAGTACAAAATGGTATTGCACCTTGTAGGAGAAGAAGCTCCTGGCTCCTGGCTTTGGATCAGTCCAGATCCAGCCTTTGCAACATTTGGGGAGTGAACCAGCAGATGGAAGACCTTTCCTTTCTCTCTTCTCTCCCTCTGTCTGTCTGTAATTTTACCTCTCAAATAAATAAAGAAAATCTTAAGAAAACACACACTCCTTCTAATGTACATTGTCATGATTAAACAAATAAGTAAGTACAAAAAGAAAAGGTCCATAAAAATGAGAGATTGTGAGCTGGCAAATAATAGATCTTCTGGCATAGATGTCAGTTTGTTTCCAATATTGAGCAAAGAAGGTTAAATGAGGTTTTCACTTCCTTGATAATTGCCAGTAGTAGACCTGACATAGTTATTAAAAAACTAGTTATTAAATCAAATATCCTTGTATAATATGAAGGCTGTTTTCAGCCTATTGAAACAAAATCCTTTTAAAAGTATACCACTTACTAATTTTTAAAATGACAACATAGATTATACAAATGGATACAATTGCTTTCAGTTGCCCTTATTTAAAAATTAAACTGCTTATGCATGCAAAAATGAACCAGCAACATGGCATAACTCAGTCGCTATTTGATCAAGTTGAAGTGTGTTTTCATCCTTAGTGTTTGCTACATATAAGCAATGTGGACCCATACAGTTTGCATTCCCATCTAGTGGTCCTCCTTAGGGTTCTATTAGTCATAGAACTGCAATCTTGATTAAGAGGCCATTTATTGCCAGAGCCAATTCCTGGGTCCCTGAAACAAACCTGAGTAGACAAACTATGCCCTGAGCACCATCATGTCATAGTTCACTCGGGTTGTTGCTGGGAGAATACAGAGTTCTTAATAAACAACACTCAATAAATGTCATCATAAATTCTCCCTGTAAGGAACATAGAAAAGGCAAGAGGGTATGCTAATGCTTTTATCATGCTCAGTGCTGAGCATCTTCCCTGTGTTTTGTGAGGCCTTTGTGGTCCAGTTTGATGCTGGATTCTTTGGGCTGCAGAAGCCATGTATCCTCTGCTATTTTCTTGTGCTAATTCATACAAATAAATCCAATGTGTCTCTCCCTGTTGGCCTGACAAAATAGATCAACTATACAAAAAATATTTAAAATGATGAATTAAGAGTCCAAAGATCTGGGGCCAGCCTGTGGCACAGCAGATTAAGCCTGTCTGTAGTGCTGGCATCTCAATGGTG